ACTGAAGGGAGGCCTTTGATTTACCTTCCTGTGGATGCTGGAGCAACTCTGAATATCAGCATCTGATTAGACACGCCTACCTCCTATCCCAGAATACCAACTCTGACTGCCTTGTGAAATGGAGCTCGTTTAACATCCAGCTTTGACTTTTTGATTCTGGATGGTTTCAGCTTGCTGCAAACTGAGGCTCTGGGCTGAATTTGACACTTCATTTGGTGCCGGGACACGGCTGCTTCTGCTCATGAGTGTTTGCGTCTATCAGATGTGGGAAGAACAGGGAAAGGAGCATGTGGCCGAACTGGTCTGCTTCTTTTCAAAGACAAAACTAGACAGAAACAAAACGAACCTGGCCCGTGTTGCTGGCCTATGTGGCCATAGTGGCCGGATGACTGATCTCCCGTTCCATAATTAGCTCAGCCCAGGGAGCTGGAGCTTTCTATCAGAGAGGAAGGCAGGGGTGGACAGGAGACAGTGCATACTTCAGAATAGAACATCTGTGTGGAGCCAGGAGTATGTGGGGTGGGTCCAGGCTATGTGTGCACCTCACAGTTCAGTTTCCTCATCTGTGATATAAGAGCTATAATGGAATCCCTGCTGTGCTTGTTACCAGGATTTGTATGAGCAAAGGCAAGTAAAGCCCTCAGCACAGAGTCTGGCTCACAATAAGCAGTAATTACACCAGCCACAGCTGTCATCTCTCTCAGCCTCTGAGACTTTAGAGGGCCCGTGGCCCGGGTGTAAGGCTCTCTGCTGCCCTCTCGTGGCAAGGCTCAGCGTGGCCCCTTGGGAAGCAGGGAGATGTTAACTTAGCTTTCTTTTGGGATTTTATTGCTCTCTTCATGTCCTTCAAGAACACTCATTCAATTTTTCAGAAGCAAGAGGAGAGGAAGGCATCTCAAGGACTCTAGAAACACTACAATGTACTTTTCATGTAAGAGGGTGAGCAGGTAAGGCTGTGGTGGTGTCCTTGAGGAGGAGGTTGGGAAGGCCCTTGCTTGCTGGTGGTACTGGCTAGAGACAGTGGCCAGGGAGAGGCAGGGGTGGGATGAGAGGCGTGGAGTGGGCTGGGGCTGAAGACTGGGCTGGTTCACCGCATGCCCACCTTAGGTACGTGTGTTGGATAGCTTTAGTGTCAACTTGACACACCTGGGTTGAGGGAGCCTCAATTGGGGAATTACCTCTATTGGACTGGCCTGTGGCCATGTCTGAGGGCATCTTCTTGATGAGTGATGTGGAAGGGCCCAGCCCACTGTAGGTGGTGCCACCCCTGTGCAGGTGGGCCCGTGTTGCATAAGAAAGCAGGCTGAGCAGGGGCCAGGGGGACAAGCCAGTAAGCAGCGATCCTCCATGGCCTGTGGTCCACACTCCCAGGTTCCTGCCGAGTTCCTACCTTGGGCTCCTGGGTGAACTGTGACCTGAGAGATGTAAGCTAAATAAACCCTTTCCTCCCCAAGTTGGTAGTGATCAGAGTGTTTTGTCCCAGTAATAAAGAACAAACTAGGACAGTATGACAGGTGTGTCTGGGCCTCTTCTGATTCCCCCTAGTGTCCTCAGCTTTTGTGACTCGGCACTTTGCAGACCCGTCTTATCATAGCTTATGACCACATGTCTTGTGCAGCACTTTTTGTCGCTTGATAACTTAAAATTTTCCTTAAGCAACTGAAAGTCCTGACAGGTCTCGGTCAGGGTCCTCTGAGATTGGGAAAGGCATGGCTTTGGGGGTGTGTCCTTGTTGCATGGTTTGTAGACCAACATGCAATCCAGGTGCTGCTGCCTTTGCCTCACAGACTAGAAAGGCCATTGCCAGCATCTGGCTCTACAGTTGCTGCATGGCACAGGTTTGATGAGGAAGTGGTGGCTGTGCAGGTGTGTAAATGAAATCTGCTCCTGAGGAGAAGGGGCCCACCTGGCCACCTTCTCTTCATGGCCTCAAGACAGTTTTACACGTGGTAGCGGCTCAGCTCAGTGAATGAGTGCAGAGCACAGGTTCTCAGGGAGCTCCTGAAGGCCAGGATACAGATTAACCAGTTCACTAACTGTGTTTGAGTGCAAAAGTCTTCTTTGATCTATGGTTTCATTTTCTGTGGTTTCAGGTACCCACTGTTAACTGTGGTCAGCAGAGATCCAAAAATATTAGGTGGAAAATTCCAGAAATAAACAATGTCTTATATTGTAGATCATTTTGAATAGCAGGATGAAATCTAGCAGCATCCTGCTGTCACCCTTTTGTGCAGCATATCCTTGCTGTATGCACTGCTGGTTCCTTCGTCAGTAGATACCTTGGTTATCAGATGACTACCATAGTATTATGGTACTTGTGTTTAAGTAATCCTTACTTTACTTAGTGATGATCCTACAGTGTAAGAGCCATGGTGCTGGGAGCTGATACACACCAGAGAGAAGCTAGAAAGTGCTTCCTTTAAGTTAAAGGTGATGTGATGGTTTATGAGAATGTCCTCCATAGGCTCTAAGTGTTTGTACATTTTGTCCCTAGTTGGTGGAGCTGTTTTGGGAGGTTTTAGGAGGTGTGGTCTTGCTGGAGGAAGCATGTCATTGGGGGGTGAGTTCTTAAGAGTTCTTAAGCTTTGCCAAATTTCCTGTCTCTCCCTGTTTCCTGTGCCTGCTTGAAGATGGGAGTGCTCCACTTTATGTTCTGGTCAACCCCTGCCACCAGGCCTCCTGCCGTGATGGACTCTAATCCCTCTGGAACTGGAAGCCAAATCAACTCTTCCTTTTGTAAGTTGCCTTGGTCATGGTGTTATCACAGCAACAGAAAAGTAGCTGATACAGGTGAGTTCTGATTGTTTTGTGGTGTTGATAATCAAACCCAGGGCTTCACACATACTAGGCAAGAACTCTACTACCGAGCTACATCCCCAGTCTAGTTTTAGATTCCATGAGAAATAACAGTATGCTGAGATTGCTCAGATCTATAGTGGGATGTGTTTGGTTTTTTATTGTGTCACTGTATAAACAGTGTGTAGGAATGAACACAGTCTGCAGAGGAATTAATACTGTCCTTGATTTCAGGCATCCATCAGAGGTCTTGGCATCTATTCCCATGGATGCGGAGGGAGCATTGCACCTTATCAGTGCCATCATAGATGTTGGGAGATTTTAAACAAAGATGCATGAGACAGCTCATGACTTCTACGAACATATCTCATTAGATGTTTAAAATTATTAAATTGTGAAGTAAGTCATGTAGTAATTCGAGGCCAGATGAATCATCCAGATGGGTATTGAAGCTGATACTGCGGACAGGCTGCCTTGCAGCATGTGAATGGCCCGTGCTTGGTTTAATGTTCAGCTGTTGTCATCATGAAATCTGTGACTTCTGTTTTGTCACTTAAACATTTTTTCAATTGGCACAAACTAACTTAGCATATTCATGTAGTACAGTGTGATATTTCAATACATTTGTAAATGTATAATGATCAGATTATGACAATTAGCATGTCCATCACCCCAGACATTAATCATTTCTTTGTGTTGGAAGAACTGAGAATTATATTTGAAACATACAGTAAATTAATCATTATTACCCAAAGGTTCATTTGAACAGGGAGCATTGTAAACCATGTTCCAGTTCTGACCTGAGGTCCATATAACCAGGACAAGCTCTTCAGTGGGACAAGGGTGACAGGGCATTTGGTGTATGTGGAGTGTATGGAGTGGAAGGGTGAAGACAAGGCTAGAACTTGGAACAGAGTGAGCATCCTGTGCTCCATGCTGTCTGCCACAAAGAAGGATCCTCTGTAATGGGAGGTGGCAGAAAGACTCTTTCTAAAGATTGCTTTACACTGGATCCTCCCTTGTGAGGCCACACTAGGACCAAGCAGGCTTCAGGGCTCCTGGGAGGTGGAGCTCAGTCTCTGCTATCCCCTGACTTAGTATGTACCATCCTATGGGGACTCCCTGCTTTGCACTATCTATTAACGTCTGACTTCTGGTCCACTACCCCATCTGTAATGCAGGGAAAGGTGGAATGGACCCCTGGAAATTTGGAGTCTCCAACTCAGTGTGGCCATTCACCACCCTCTACAGAGAAATGGCCGACCCAGTCACTGGAGATGTGATTAGTAAGAGTTCTGGGTGGCAATGGGCAACTTCAGTTCCCTCAGTAATTCATGAGGGGTAACTTGGAGCTGCGAAGGGGAAGCAAGACCATGGTAGAAAGGATATAGAGCAACACCCCGCCAGGGCCGGCTAGCAGAGGGGACTTGCTGTGTGTCCCTATAAATGTGAGCAGAGCTGGTGTCAGAAAACCATGTGCAGAAGTGAAGGGGCGTGAGTCCTGGTTCCCAGTCTAGGGGCATGCTCCTTTGAACAATCCTGCCAAGGGTGGGGGCCAGATGGGACTGGCTAGCTTGGGCTACCCACAATGAGAATCAGGGCTGTGGGTAGTCAGCCAGGGCGTCTGGTTTTGGACTTGCCAGGTCACCAGGCCTGAAGGCCTTCTCAGTGCTTTGTATATATCACCCCTCAGTACCTGGAAGCACCAGTAGGTATGCTCTGTAGCCAGTCCATCTGTAGCAGATGAGGGACTTTAGCATCCCCAGCCCACAGCCTCTTGGCTGAGTATCTCCTGTTCCTCTAGAGTTCTGCTGGGGGTCTGTGAGTTGTAGTCCCTAGGGCATCTTGGTTGGACTTATCCTTGTGACTCCCAAGTCCTCCTGCTCCTCTAGAGCTCTGCTGGGGGTCTGTGAGCTGTGGGCCTCAGGACTCCTTGGCTGGACTCATCCTTGTGACTCTTTTATGCCCTCATCTGCCAGTTCCCGTCAACCTACTGCAAATGTGGGGAACATCAGGCACCAGGCCTGGGGCTTCCAGCAAGGACAGCCCCGCACATTCTTCAGAGAGGAGGCTGTGTTGACAGGTATTTGTCAAACACGTTTTCTTTCCCTACACATTCCTGCCTGTTTATTTAGGATGTGGCAAACATTTTATTGTCATGTGGTTTAATTAAACAGGGAGGAAAAAGCTTAGGAGTCTAGAACTTTGCTAATTTCAAATATACTTTATTACTTTTTTTGTCTTAGAAACAATATGAAACCTGCATGCAACACTAATGTTTTTTTGACATTTACAGAGCATATAACACAGCAGTACAATGTGGCCTCTACTGAAGAGCAGTGTGTGGCAGGGTACTCTGAAGAAGGTATGTACACAGGAGAGGGTGGGCATCACCCTGGCCCTGGAGAGAGGACCCGGCTATTTGCCCATGTGTTGTGGCGGGGAGGGGCAAACACACCACTGTAGTACTGGTTCTGCTGGGGTGAGAGAAAGAAACATCCTCTAAGGTTCCCCCGGATAGCATGTGCACCTCTGGCTGTGCGTTGTGCATGCAATCCTGCGTCTTTCAGTTTTCTCCTTAGGTTTTTTCCAAACAGTGCTGGGAACGTCTCATGCTTCTGAAATACTGCCTCCAGAAGCAGAGAACCTTTCAGAAACCCTCTAAGGAAAGACCCACCTCCTTTAAGGATCTCTTGCCTGGCCATCACAGATCTGGGAAATGAATGGGGCAGAAGGGTGGGTGGGGGAGTGGTTTGAAACTCAGTGCTCTGGTAACCAGACTGAATTCTTCTAAACAGATGCAGAAAGACCTGCTCCTGCTCACCCGGTGACAGGGGCCACTGTGGAGTCACACTGAGGTTCTGACCGGTCGGAAGCCCAGGAGAGCCCATGGCAGCTGTACCGAGGCGCCAGGTCTTCTGAGCGGAAGTGTCCCAAGCCCGCACCGGAGCAGCGCTGCAATGAAATGTCTCAACCAAGCTCACTGTTCCTCCCAGGCGCTTATAAAGCTCAGATGTGTAGTGACATATGGACAAATACAAAAAACCCCCATATTTTAAAAAGGAAAGGCATGAGTTCTCCCCCAACCCCTTTCAGCAAAAAAGCTGCCTGTAATGAAGTCTGGAGTGCAGGAGAGCTGGGGCTCACATCTGGAAGCCTTTCCCACACAGCTATAAAATGTAAAAACTGACCCTGGGTAAAAAGTGCTTCATAACAATATATAATTTGTGTCTTATGCCTGTGAGAAAGAAAGGGTTTTTAGTTTAATCTGCAAAGTCCTCTGCTGAAGTCTCTCGACTGCTCTGGAGTTTTTCTCTCGGAGCTCTTTCACCCTATTCTTCGTAGACCCTGGGAAAAGAGGATGCAGGTGTCAGTGGCTGCGACCTGGTAGGGGTGGCTCACAGCTGCTGGGGGTAGCTTCATCCACAGTTCCTCCCAAAGGACTGGGGCCAGGATGAGAGGGATGGCTCTGAGGATGTGACTGAAGTCACCACAGAAGCGCACACAACGCTGGGCGTGGTCACCCACATTTGTAATCCCAGCACTTGGGAGAATGAGGCAAGAGAATAATTATGAATTCAAATCTAGCCCAAGTTCCAGGCTAGCCTGGGCTACAGAGTAAGACCTTGTCTCAACAAAACAAGCTTACACAAATATGGCTCTGTCCTTTCCAATCAGCTTCTGCTGATATAATCCCATTTCATTCCCCAACCCTATGCCGCAAACACTCTTTGTATATGGGGAAACTGAGGCCCAGGAGATGTAAGATGTGCCTGATAACCTTGTACTGTGAGTGGGTGAACAGAGGCCTTTCCCGCTTGGTGGTTGTCTCTTGCACCTCAGATCCTCCTTGCCACTCAGAGAAGATGGGTGGCTCCTCTCCTTTGGGTTAGGTTTGTCTCCGAGCAGAGTACGATTTCTAGACGCCTGGTTGAAGACTGAGGAGGGGGCTAGTGGGGCTGGGGCTGTGACTGAGGGACCCACCCTGTGGTCTCTTGCCCTTGACTGCATTGCCTCACTTTCCCTAGTTTGGGGGCATCCACGCCCTCCTTGCCATTCACCTCCCAAACCAGCTACATTTCCATATCTTTCTAGTTCTGCCCATGGCTGCCCCGGGCTGCACTTCATCAGATAGCCAGCCCATTGCTTCTTCTACCTCACTCCTGATTTCTGAGTGAAACCACCTAATTATGCAAAACATGTAGGGGCTGGAAAGATGGCTCAGTAGTCAAGAGCTCTTTTGCTCTTCCAAAGGACCAAAGCTGGACTCCCAGTACCTGTGTCAGGTGGCTTACAACTAACTGCCTGTAACTCCAGCTCCAGAGGATCCAATGCCCTCTTCCGGCCTCCTCAGGCACCCTCATGCATGTGGCATACACTCACGTAGACACAAATAAACAAAAATTTAAATCTTTAAAAATAAAATAAAAATGAAATAAAATGCCTGATGTAGCTGCCTCCTGTGACATCTAGATCTGTCTCTGAAATGCTTGCTCCCTGCTCCCTTGTTAGTGCCATGGATCTGGCTCTGCCATGTACCTTTCACCTTCCTCTGCCCTGAGTTCTGAGCACCCCCTCCACCCTCAAAGAGGACTTACTTCCAATAATTCTTTTATTTCCATTCTCTAGTCATTAAGCCACTTCTAACCCTTTATAAGGGAAGGGGTAGAAAGGGAAAGAATATGCTGGTTTCCTGTCCAGAGATACCTCAGCACCCAAAGAAAGGGACGAATTCAGCAGGATGAGGCATAGGCTTGTAATCCAACACTTGGGAGGTGGAGGCAGAAGGATTGAGAGTTCAAGATCATCCCCTGTTTCATGGCTGAATTAATACTAGCTTAGGCTATGTGAAAGTTTGTCTGAAATAAGCAAACAGCCCCCAAAAGGCTGAAGTGTTGATGCAGTTAAGTAACAGGGGACTGATAGTAGAGAGGCTCTTGCTGCTTTCATCAGTGCCATTTGCAGAAGTAGAAAAGCAGGCCTTTGGCCTTCTTTTCAAAGCCACAGCCCAGGTAGAGTGGAGGAGCAAGGTGGGTAGAAGGTGGGGTAGGGTATGGGGGGGTGTCATCACTTTTGATGAGACAGGGCCTGGAGGAGGGTGATCAGGCCCTGCTTGGGCCATGTGAGCTGCCTGCTCTGACCAAAAAGAGGGCCTCATTCCTGTCAGATACATAGAAAATAGTCGCTCACCTCATCGCTTTCTATTTCAAGCAACTGCAGATGAAGCAGTTTGGGATGAAATAAGAAAAGGCTCAGGAGTATGGCTGGGCCAGAGGATCAGTCATGGGAGAGCTGGTCATAAGGCTGAGTTCCAGGGAGCAGCACCAGGCCACAAGATGGGACCCATACACCCCTCAGGACCCTGACTTCCTCACTTCCTTGTGCTCTGAAGGCAGCCATACCCCTTGGTCCCTCTGAAGGCAAGGTACTAGCTCCCCCATGTCACTAGCCTTCCCTAGTCTTGCTCTGAAGGCAAAAGTATAGGCAGTCCTTGGGTGTCTGAGGAGTGGCCTGTTCAACAAGCACTGTGGTATAAGGGAGCCTGGAAGTAGCCTCTCCTTCCAAGGCTAGATCTAGGGCCCCCAGGATAAGAACTGGGAAACTACCTTCTGATTATAGGGAAAGTAACCAGAGAACACAGGTGTCTGGTTTGAGGTGTTAGCTTACTGCTGCTGCCCCTTTGGGTAAAGTGAGTGATTTTAAAGAGTTGAGCACAAGTGACTTCCCGCAGCTGCATGGGAAGGGATTATCAGCTGTCTGGGCAGAACAGGACACGTGGTGCCTCAGAGGGTAATACTGGCAGGGAGGCATCACCCCACAAAGTCCACAGGGGACAACCATGCCAGTTTGAGCATCCAGTCATTTTCAGCTCATGTGGCTTAAAAAGTGCAATTGAATTGGAGTCAAAAAAAGAGACAGGAAGTTGGGAGGGGATAGAGAGGTGAGGGTGGATCTGGGAGGAGTTAGGGGAGGTGCATGAAATTCTCAAAGAATTAATAAGAGCATTTTTAAAAAATGCAATCGAGACTATTATATGAAAGTTTTGGAATGATACAGACTTCAGTTCACAAAAGGATAAACCTACAAGGCTTACAGATGCCCAAGAGAGCGACAGGGTGGCCTGCTTTGTTAAGTGGTGTGTTCCTCACCTTGGGGCTACAGAAGCAGTATCTGATCACCTACTTTTGGGCGTCACACATTAGATGAGGCTACATGACCTGGTGCATAGGTCCCTCATGCCCTAAAAGCCACAGCCAGCTGCTTTGGGCAGGCGAGGGGGGAGAAGAGGTGGCTATACCTGCGTTTCTCATTCCAGGCATTGTACCACTTGATGAAGCGCTTGGTGCTCTGCAGCTTGGGGTGCAGGCAGTGCTCCTGGCCCCGGTACCTGGACATGCTCTTGGTGGTGATGCTGAAACAGGGAGGCACAGAGTACAGCGTTGAGGTTCTGCATAATAGCTGTCGTGGCTCTGGTCTACAGGATCAGAGCACTGGGGGACTTGCCCCTCCTTTCCTCAAGGTAGCATTCAAGTGCTCACTCCCAGACCAGCCTTTTGGGAAGTTCTGTGTCCCTTTAATCACAGACTCCATGGCAGGGTTTAGTCTGTATAGAGTGAGTGACCTCATTTTTCCCTTAGCAGTCCTTACCCCCCAGCAGCCCAGCAGTCTGTTATCCCCAGGACCCAGGCTTTCTTGAGGAGCAATGATCAGGGGACTCTTCCAATGGTCCAGAGGGAGAGTGAGCCATTGCCAGAAGGTGCCCAGGCCAAGGCCTATCCATGGGTTTGAGGCACACCATGATGAGACCAAGACATGCCCTGCATATGCCATGGTCTCTGACCCTTGACCTCAGCTCCCTAATGTCCTTCAGCTTGTCCCAGGGCTGTATAGCAGAGAAGCAGGGCCTGATACAGAGTGCAGGGGTCTGGGTTTGAATCCTTGTAACTCCTCTGACTCTGTTTGCCCTCTGTAAAATCGGTACACTAGCAGGACCTACTTCACAGGGTTATTGGAGGAGTTAACGATATAATCTGTGCAAAATATTTTGTCCCTGGTAGATGTTCAGTGAGGTACTCGATCAGGGTGGGTGGTAGGAGTTACAGGAAGCTTCTGGGAGGAGAAGGATGGATGGTGTTCAAGGAGGGCCCACCCAGAACACTTGGAACGTGCAAAGTGGTCACAGAAGGGTAGTCAGAGGTGAGAGGCGAGTAGGAAGCCAAGGTCAGCTAGCTCCCCATGGGGTCCCAAGGTAAAGCATCAGGGTTTATAGGCCAAGTTCTAGAACGGGGCAGGGTTGCAGTGAATGCATTTTGTCTCCCAATCTGTGGAGAGGGAAATCGGATCCTGCCAGCAGAATTAGGCAGAATGCTGTAGCAGCCTGTTCTCTTCCTTGCTCTGTTCTCTGAGTTTCTGGGGCCCCCATCTAGGACCAGGAATGGACATTTGATAATATCAGGTGACTAGATCCTACTTCACTGGAGCCTGTTAGAGGACAGGTGGCTCCTTCCAGACCCTGAGCACTCGGCCAACCTGGGTGAACTCTCTTCCCTCCCTCACCTCCATCACTCTGCTGGAGTGAGCATCTGCATCTCCAAACCCACCCCATGGTGCTGCTGGCTGTTTCACTTAGTGAAAGGATGTGGCAACCCCTGGTAAGAGCCCCCTTCTCCACAGGTCAGAGTGCAGGCAGAGCATCCCACTTCTGAAGGTCAGGGAGTGCAGGAAGGACTCAGCCCTCCCACTGAGGAGCTCAGCAGCTGCCTCAGAATATAGGGATTATGCAGATCCGAAGCAGGGTGAAGAAGTAGGGATTTATGACCTAGCAGCTAGCAGAAATTCTGGGTCTTAGTTGTCCCTCTTCTCAGCAGTTCTGAGGTGCCCAGGGTTTGGATGAGTTCAGTGGAGATTCAATGCAGATTGCTCTCCAAGATTCTGGACTTGGGCTGGCGAGATGGCTTAGAGGGAAAGGGCGCTTGCTGTTAAGCTTGAACCTGTGTTCGATTTCGGGGACTCACCTGGTGGAATTAGTGAACTGATTCCTGTAAGTACTTCTCTGATCTCTGCACATGCACCTGGGCACGCTCGCCGCCTCCCCAATAATAAATAAGTGTTTTAAAAAGAGGAGTTTGGACTTTTCCAGATCCTGATTGAAAGGACTTGCACCTGTACGGCACTCTGCTCAGCTCCCCATCCCCCCAGCAAAGGTTTTTGGGTGACTCAAGGTAAACAGGAAAACTTGCTTTTCTTTAGCCTTTGTGGCTGAAAACCTGCTTTTGCAAAAAGTGCTGGTCTCCTGTCTGGTGTAGAAAGCCTTCAGATCTTAGAAGGCGAGAGAGTCCAGGTTGCCCAGGATGGGGACAGAGGTCTAGGAGAGATACCACTCATGAGGTCCCTGCAAGTTCTTGCCAGGCTCCAGGCAGCTTTCCCATGCACTTGTTCGGCTGCAGTGTCTTCTCTACCCAGTGAAGTTTAGTCAAGAGCAAGCCTGCCTGGGGACTTCTGTCCTTTTGTGATGCTATTGCACCCCATATCACCTTTGTCCCCTGCAGGTTCTCAGAACCTGCAAACTGGAAGTGGTGGGGGCATTGCTGCCCAGACCACGGCACTTCTGACCCCCTGGCTCCCACCTAAAAGGATTTTTCAGGCAGTCTTTCTTGACTTGGTCTACAAAGCAAGAGGCTGGGATGAGGAAGCTACTTTGGATGCCCATGAAGGAAGACTCTGGGGTCAGCTCAGGCCCTGTGGCTTTCTGAATGCCCCTAACTTCAGTGGCATGTGGGATGTGGGGTGTGGGGTTGGGGGTGTGCCCTGCTTTTGCAGACACTGGTGAAGGCCTTTGGGCCAGCAAGGCCAGCCGGTGGAAGGCACTTGCCCAGACTGAGAATAAAGTGTGTCCTGTTTCTGGGGGAGGGGAAGAGGGGCCAATGGTCCATGGCAAATATTTGGGAGCTGCTTTGCCAAGAGCTGCCTTCCTGGCCAAGAGTGTACTGATGGGGAAACAGCCAGCGCTGGCTTCAAGTGGTTAATTGGGAAGGCAGAGGAGCAAGGAAACTCAGTGTTCTCTCTCTGCCCCAGTTTTTAAGACTTTGCCGGCATCCCCACCGAGCAGGGCTCCGGTGGTGGCATACATGGCACATTAACCCCAGTAGAGCACTTTCTGCAACACTCTTCAGGATGGAAACCCACAAGAGGTCCAGCCGCTGGTGGAAGAGCCAGGAGCCTTTTCTCAACGAAATCCCTGGAAACCCCAAACTGCTCTTCCCTGGGGCCAGTCCCCTGACTGAAGGGAAAACGGGGGCTAAAGACCGGGTTGGTTGCTGTTACTTCTCTTCTGTGAGAAGAGAACACACCCGGCCCACATGCTGAGTGTGTTCCGAGTGATTCTGGTGTAGGTGGTCCAAGTGGGCACTCCGGAACCCCCTTTGCCTTCGAAAGCTCTAGCACACCGGTGACCTCCCCTTCCCCAACGCATAGTGCAAACCCTCAGCCTAAGGGTTCGAGTCTTAAACAAGGATGGCTTTTGAAGAACCGGCCAGAGGACCCCCCCCCCCTTCTAGCTATCTTCCAGACTGTCCACCTGGCCAGGCAATTACAACACCTCACCAGGGTCTTGGCAAAGAAAGGCTTGTTTGCTCCACCGAGCCCCAGATGGTGCCCCGCCAGGGGCTGCGCACAAGGTGGGGAGCAGAACTCACATAACCATCTTCTCCTCGCAGTGTGGATACTTTGGCTTCATTTCCAGCTTCTTCACGTCGCTGTAGCGGATCTTGGGCCCCTTCCGGGAGCACTTGCACTTGGACCCTGTGGGAGAGTGCGCGTGGGCTGCTAAGTGACCCTCGCCCTTGGTGCCCACCCAGGAATTCCAGGATGCCTAGTTGGTGTTTGGGTTCCCCAGGACGGGGCAGAACAGCGACAGAGGGACCTCCGGGTACTCACCATCCACGCGCGCGGCGCACAGCGCCAGCAGCAGCAGGAGCAGCGCGGCGGCCAGGAGCCTCATGCTGGCCCGAGGGGCGCGGGAGCAGGGGCGCTAGGAGCGCGCGGCGGGTGCTCCGGCGGCTGTGCGTGCGCCCGCGGGGGAGCCGCCCGGCCTGGCTGTCGGCTCAGAGCACTCCGCCCGGCTCGGCTCGCTCGAGTTGCGCCGTCGATGGGTGTCCGGCCGTCGGTTGCTGCGCTGCGCTGGGTGCTCGGATCCGCGATCTCCCCGCAGCTTCCCTCCACCCGTCCTGGCCTCTTTTAAATTCGCTCCTGCCCTCGCAGTGAGCGAGCTCATTAATATGCAGAACCACTCGGTGACTCACAGATTTCTCAGTGTGGTGGTGGTGGTGGTGTTGGGGGGGGGATCCTCCCAGCCCGCCTGCCGCCCGCCCCGGACGGATCGCGATCGCCGCGGCGCACACTCGGAGCCACGCGCGCACACGCACACACGCACACACTCACATCCACCAACCTCTCGCTCGCACAGCTCGCCCTCCTTCATGCACTTGCACACCCAGACCACAGCCCGCACGCACGTCCAGCGCCGCTGCTCTGCCTCGAGGTGGCAGGACAGTGCACAGGCTGCTGAAAGGCGCTGCTTTTCTGTTTTCCTGTGGATCCTTCTCAGGCCAGACAGGTCTACTGTCCCAAGCCACTGGGAGGCCCAGGCCCTGGCCAGATCCCAGGCTTTCTAGCAGGTGCCTAGGGAGACTGTCAACAGGTCTGACCCCTAGGGATGGGCATTCCCTTTTGGGCCAGCAGCTCTGGTGGTCACAGCAGAGACACAGGTCTAGATGGGGTAATACAGTAGCAAAGCCAGTGCCTTTGGTCATTGGGTCACTGAACAGAGAGAGAGAGAGAGAGAGAGAGAGAGAGAGAGAGAGAGAGAGAGAGAGAGAGAGAGAGCCCTCTGAGAGCTCCCTCACTCCTCCA